TAATTAAAAATCACAGCGAGAATTCTGTTGTGATCATCAAGGGTAAAACAATTTTGCATTAATTAAAGGAATAAAAAACTTTATCAAATTTGTGTTTATATTATTTAAGAAAATAGAATTTTTTACTTATTGGATAGTAACGTATTTATTGAGTCAATAATGTACTGCATCTAAAAACTCAGCGAGACTTAGTCTAATTATTTTGATTGATGTCATTGATTTGTACATTTAATATTTATTTCATGAATATTAATGTAGTTTGTGAGAACTTGTTATTTAAATTAGCATTAAATGATGTAGGCATGGACACTATTATTGTATAGTTAAATTTCAGATTAAAAGTACGATCTTGATTTATATTTTTAGGGGACAAGAAATAGAAGTGGGGTGGTTTAAGTTGACTTTAAAAGCCACGAAATTTTGTAAGGATATCAGTATTGTTTCATGTTTCAAATAATGAAAAAAGCAATTTGTATTTGTACAGTAAGGTATTCCACTAAATGCTAAGTCCTTGATAGATTGAGGTAGGTAATAGGTATATGTTGTTAAAGTTATGTTTAATTCTCATTCATGTTCTCATGTATGTGTTATACGAGAAAAAATTTGCAGAATTTCCAGTTTACCCGTGGAATACCAGGTAGTGGAATAGGTACTAGGTTTTGCGACGTTTCGTTGGCTTGATTTGCAAAACTCTTCAGGAAAATGTTAGGTGTGGAAATAAATTAGAAAAATCAGTAATCGTTTTTCTACAGATTTGATTGATTCTTCGTACTACTGTAGTAAATTAAAAATTATTGAAACTAGTTCTTCCCCCTATAAGTTACTGTGAGCTCGAAAATATTAGCACCATTGCTTCGAGTGGTCGAAATTCACTTTTGTGAACAATTTGCTTAATTACTTTCTTTGTGTTAAAAATTGTGTGAAAAATTAAATTTAAAAGAATTGTTTGTGAATAGGTATGCAACACATCGTACACTTCAGCATAAGAAATTGTTGATACTAACTACGTAATACTACTTTGCCCTGTGCTGACAACACTTATAATTTCTTTTACATATAATACTAGTGACCCGCCCCAGCTTCGCACGGGTGCAATGCTGTTACTAAATATATTTTTGTTTGTTTAGATTATTATCGAAAAGGGGAAATCTTCAAAAGATACCTCCTGAACATACTAAATATACTACAGAATGACTTTATATACAACATTCACAGTTTTTTGTCATTAGACAATAGAAACCGGCCTCCCGGCCGGTACCGCCGCAACCGCTATGTTTCTTCATTTTAAATCTGTAATATCTTCGAAAATATTCATTTAAATTACATGTTGTAAAGGGCCATATTGATCTATATTAAATGCAAAGTGTATTTAAGGTGCTTAATTGGATAAGAATTAATGCTGTATTGCCTACAATCGCTTCGTAGATAAGTCATTATATTTCTCATAAAAAGTAAAGGATAAAATTGGTTATTGTGGGTTATCCCTGAGAGATAGACATATACCATCACGGACTTTTTTGTATACCCTTTTAAGATGTACAATATTGTAGTACATTATTTTGATCTACCTCGTAGGGTTCAGCCAGCGTTTGCAATGTAAGCGCAAAAAATATGTTTATTTACGACATCACATTAGAAACCTCTAAAATTATCANTAAAATTTTGAAAAAATATAGAAAATAGTTCTCTACTTATGGATTATAGGAAAATTAATAAGAAATCTATGGTTTGAACATAACGGGGTAAATCTTACAACAAAACAAATTTGTGGGTACAAATTTACATTTGCAGTTTGACTATATAAGAGAACATGTTTTTTAATTGTAATATTGTAATTGTATGTTTCAAGGATTGATTTTTGGGGGAAACTTGAAACATACTCGAAAAAAGCGAAAAACATTTTTGAGACTTTTTTTGTTGCAGATTAAAGAAGCTATCAAACGGTTAATTACCAACTCATTTCTCTGGTGTAGCGTCATTATTTCTCCCTAAAATTTTCTTAAGTTCGTTTGTCCGCGTATTCTCTGATTATTTCCTGCCAGAAATCCACGTTTCTTATTTTTTATTTTACGTAAAGGTATACTCCTAGTCGTTTCTCAAAGTCTGGATTTATTTTAATATCGTTTTTTATATGAATAGGAAAAACTGAGAAACATTTTCTAAAATGTGAGTAGAAAAAGTAATGAAATATTAATAATAATAGCAATAAATTATTACCAATAAGTAATAATCTACAATGAAAAGTGTAGTTGCATGAAAATGTCCTTACTTATATTAGCTAGACTTCAAATTTTCAGTAAAACGAAATTTTATGTTTGATAATGATCTCATTGTGATCCATGAAATCCATGGAGATAACTACTCATTAGAATTTTATTGTCCCTTTACCTGTGATCGTATTTATTAATAAGGGTGTTATTGAAAGTTATTGTTATTAAATTAAATCAATTATTTATAGGCCAATTTCTTTACCGTTTACGTAAAAAAGGCTCTTGATGTGTTTATTGTATAGTACATAGTTGACAGCTAAATAGTTATTACAAAACCGAAATAAATAATTTATTTTATGTAACGAAATTCGATGCTGTACCTACGCAAACGATTCAAATAAAGCAGCTTAGGTGACAGATCATTACTTATACCGTTGTTTGCTGTTAATGCAACTGGTTAACAGTCTCAAGTACAATATCAAATTCATTGATCTTGTTGCTACTTGGTTATTGTAGCTGTTAACCTTTATCTTTCTGTGAAAATTGAGGCAATTACTTATTTTTACAATTACTATTAATGAGGTACGTTTTCTGGACCACCGTTAGAAGAGAAAAAGTTCAATTTTATATGAAATTTTGAAATGTAGATACTTGTATATTATCTATGCTTACTTATACATAATTTGTTTATTTATAAAACAAGTAGTGGGTGAAGCGAAACGAAGTACCTAAGTCTTAAATTCAAATACGTTAAAGTTTTTTCAATTGTATTTAAATTGAATAAAAACAGTTTTATTGTCATGAAAAAGTTTATTATAATCATATTCTTCTTGACTGCCTAAGGAGCGTTGATGTGTTACCACTGATGTCCCATGGGGGCCGTCGTTGGAAATTTGTGGAATTTATTAATCTCGGTGGTGAATTAGGGTGACTCTTTTTTCATTTTTTAAATCGTTGTTTATCCCGAACGAACACTATATATCTAATATTTGTATTTAACTTGTTGCTTGCTTAGTCTAAACGCAAATTTTGTAAAAACGACATCGTTCAAGGAAGTTTATACATAAGTATATTTATTTACAGTGTCATATCTACATTGTTTATACAGTGGAATATTTCTTTTAATCATAAGGGATTTTACCAAGGAAAGGCAGCACTGTAGGCTAGAGGTGGTGGGGGTGGAAGACCGTAAGCTGGACCAGCTGCATAAGCTAGTGGGGGTGGTGGTGGGTAAGCGAGAGCTGGTGCAGCGGCATAGGCTAATGGTGGTGGGGGTGGCAGGGCTAAGCCTGGAGCTGCTGCATATGCTACAGGAGGTGGGGGAAACGCCAGAGGTGCTGGGGCCAAGACTCCTCCATAAACTGTGGCAACGCACAGGGTAACGATAGCAAGGATCTAAAAGTAAACAACAGAAAAGTTAATGTTAAACTACAGACAGTAGAACGTCGATAATTCAAACCCTGGTAACGTAAAACCTTCTTAATTTAATGAATGTTACTGTTACCCTTCCCTCAAGCCGTAAAGTTTCCATTAATTAAAATTTTTTCCTAACAGAGGGTCGTTTTGACGGTTTTATTGTGCAGCTATAAGTTTCGACAACAATCTATATTACTGCAAAACTTCAGTGTTTGCAATTTCGCAAGGAGGTCTAAACATTATCTTTCTTAGCTTATACTACCTCTCTTTATGTTAAAATCTGACTTTTTTTAATTTTATCGTTTGGCATTTATTTAGCAGTTTAATTAATCAGATTAAGATTACTTACCATGGATTTCATTTTTGTTGTGTTTAGTTGTTCTTTTAGAAACTGATGATGTTCTACTGTTCTTACTCTAATGTGGAATGTTTTTATATACTTCGAAGTGTAACTGACCTTTAGCGTAATGTCCTAGGAAGTTTGGGCAGGGTTTACAAGTAGTGCTCCAAATTTTCATTACGGCCAGCGTAACATGTTATGCTAATTTTTAAAACGTGAAAAGATTTAATTGAGTTCAAATGCAATCTTATTTGCATTGTTAGGACGTGATATTTACACATTTTTGTTTTAAATGTTGGTACATAGATATATATGTTTATATCTAATACAGATGCATAATTCATCAATGAAAACAAGACGTAGAAATCATAAACCTCCCTTTTTAGAATTAAACTTACGTGAAGTATTAATAGATTGATCCTGCTATTTTAATAAATCGGAATTAAAATATGAATTTATTGAACTATTTTGGACTAAAGTTCAGAATTAATTTTATATTTAAAATATATAATTTTCATTGCTAATTTTTAAGGTTTAATATTGCTTAATGTAAAATTGATTTTTCTGTTAAAACATTAAAACTATTTTTTTTATATATAACCCATTTCTATTCGTTAAATAAAAATGTAACAAATACGTTAGGTGTACTTTTATTTATGTTTAATTGATGGAGAGTTACTAACGAAATCAGAATAAAATTACTACTTGTTTCAAAGGAATTAACAATGCAAAATACAAATTTAAAAATTGTTTGTCCTTTTGTTATCTGTTGAGGTATTGCAATAATTTTTTTCATTATTTAAAGTTTTGATGTGACTTAATTAAACTTTATACCTTACTGTAAACTTAAGTAATGTTATATTCAAATACAACTGCCAGAAAATGCACTTCTGGATAATAAAGATCTTATAATACTCAATACAATGTTGAATATTATAAAATCTTTAGGTAGACTTAACACATTTTACTTAGGTCAAGAATTTGTTCTGAGCTGTCCCTAAGTTTAATGCGTTTGTAATAATTAAAGCTGTTAGTCATGTAAAATGTTTTGTTCCTATAATTTTCTAAATTTGTAGGACGTAGTCCATGACTTTTACAAGTCCGGAAAATGCAAAACATAAGTATCGACCGTGAGATGAAAATTAAAGTTCTGCAACAGTTAGGTTTAGAAACACCTATACACCCATTTCGTTAAATATTTTACACATTACTCAATTATCATTTATATTTATTTGTTAATTTCGACAACAAATAATTCATTCTTTTTATAAAAAAATGTGAAACCTAAAGACCGTGCTTTAAAAACTAATTTTTTAATTGATTTCTGAACAAGTGTATTTTTGTTTACCATTGGAGATAAATATTTTGTTTATGTTTATATGCTTTTACAATCGCTTCTGTTATTCATGTGACATTTGGTATTTTAAATTTTGCTCTTTATTAAAGAATACTTATAACAATGCACCACACGTTTAGATTTGCACTTTGATTAAACTAAAATACAGGAGCAAATTAGCGTAGGCAGAAGGTTAATGTTTCTTTCTTAATACATGTATTATTCTATTGGGTTTGCTAAAGGTCTCTAACAAATTAAGAAATTTAGAGCACTGCAGATCTAGTTTAGGTAGGCCCTACCCCTCGGTTAATGTGTTAAACTCATAGGTGTGGAGTTTTGTCAACTGCTATATAAACAATGCTGTCCGAAAAAAAGATCATACAATCTCACTTTCTTTTACAAGATTAACCAGAGTAAAGTGTACGGCTATTCTTGAAAATGAAGGCTATGGTAATGTTATTATCTTTCAGTATAGTTAATATATTTTAATATTTTGTTTATTAGCTTTAGTACGTAATTTAATATTACGCATTAATTAATTTAGATAACTGTTTATTTTTCAGATTTTTGCTGTAGTTGCCCTCTTTGTGGCGAGTGCATATGGAGGAGTTCTCTCTCCTGCTCCATTGGCTTTGCCGCCTCCACCTCCAGTTGCATATGCAGCTCAGCCAGCATTCGGTTTACCACCCCCACCTCCAGTAGCGTATGCAGCACACCCTGCTCCACTTGCTTTACCACCTCCGCCACCACTAGGGTATGCAGCTCATCCAGCTCTAGCTCTTCCACCCCCGCCGCCACTAGCGTATTCGGCTCATCCAGCTCCTCTAGCTCTTCCACCCCCACCACCACTAGCATATGCGGCTCATGCAGCTCCTCTGGCTCTTCCACCCCCGCCACCACTAGCTTACGCAGCTGCCCCGGCTTTTGCACTCCCACCACCACCCTTGCCAGCAGCTAGGTCATCATCGTACTTCTACTCTGCACCAACCACTTACGCAGCCCACGCAAAAGTTTTTTAAATTTGTTAAAGCCGTTAGTTAATTAATTGTTTATTTTGACTGCATGTATAATTAAGTAAAATGTAACATAAAAAATAAAGGAAAATCAAAAATACATTTGTTGTTACATTAAACAGTATCTGTAATATGTCGAATATTACAACAAAAATAAAGGTAATTGTTTATTGCAAGGGGTCACACATCTGATGTTTTTAAAATCTTAGGGTGCTGTACAGTTCACCGTGCCGATTGAGATTATAGTCGGAATTCGAAATTGAGTGACAAGTGTTACCGTGAGACATAAGTATAAATTAAGTCATAAAAACGTCAGTTTTCGTCTAAATAGTGAATGTAACTAAAACAACAAATATCATTAACTTATTTAAATAAATAGGTATATTCTTGAAGTTTGTAACAATCTCTAAAATATAAATATGACTTGATAGTTTGTTCCACATTTGTATTTATATATTGATACCATTATCGAAAGAGTACCATTTGATAATAATCTAAAAACCATCAATACCATCATCATCATCATCATAGGGTTGTCAGTCCTAAGACTGGTTGGACCCGCACCTCTACTCCACTCCACTTCTTATCCAATGCTAATCTTTGCATCCTTAACTATTTTCGAACAGTAATTTAATTTAGGTCTACCTCTACTCTCTTAACTCCTGTTTCTGCCTCTAATATGTTTCTGATTAGACCTTCATTCCTGAAAAGATGTATTACCAACCTGCTAACTGCTACGTATGATTCTAAAGTTTCCACTCCAGAAGTCTCCAGCTTCTGGCCAACTGACTTTACTAATGCCTCCTGTATCTAACTCTAGCCTTTTCATTTCATCTTTCAAATTCTCTAATTTCTCTACTTGTCTCATGGTTCTAACATTCCATGCTCCGACTGGTGAAATATTGCACCTTCCCATATAAAGATGATATAAAATAAAAGTTTCTCTCTTTCAACTTTTTTTTAGATTTGTTTCATGTGAAATTCCAAGTCAAATATCGTTATGAACGAAAGCCGCAGACGATCGATACCGCCGGCACCTACAATGTACCCGAAAGCTGTCAGCCCCTGACCATAAATGATAGAGAGGACATGTCTGGTATGACAAAAGAAAGTTTTTGAAATAATCAATAAAAAATATACATATATTCAATATAAGACAACTGACTTAAGAAATCAATTGTAGGATAAATAACTCTAGTGTGATTCCGTGTTATATTAATTACGTACATACGTATTGAGACTACAAATACATAGGAATGTTAGAAAATTTGTTACAATACAATTTTTATTTATTGCAAATATGCATATATATATATATATGCATAT